GGCCTGCAGAGGACTTTTTCTTGGTTATGGGGTGGGGCCACCACATTAGTAACAAAGAAACAGAACTAAAACTTTATTGTGGGGAGCCACTACAGTGTTTTGGACAGGGTCAAGTCTTGGACTGAGGAGAGGGCACAGTCCTCTCATTGCCACATGCAAGTCCCAGCTTGGAGGGCAGGGCATTCCCAGCACAATTATAGCCAGCAGTTGTAGTTGGAAGCTTGAACCTATGGTCTGAACACGTGGCCCCACGTGACTGAGTGATGTGGGCTTGATGGAGTTCAGGTGCATGTAGTTGAGTAGGATTGAAACACAGGAGAATGTTTGTAAACATCTTGGTCATGCCCTTACTTTGCCTCATAGCATCTGCTATAAAATAAAGGCATGGCTGTGGGCGTGGTTGCTGTCTCTCAGAGAAGCAGTGTCCCACCGAGACCCAGCTTTCTTTCTCTCTTGTCTGTCTTTTCTAAGCCTTTCAGCCGCCCCCACTCAGGTTCACCCTTGGCTGTGCTGTCACGGCACACTTTATAAAGATATGCCTCCACGCTCCCAGGGAGGGTTCCTGCCTCACACCCCGCCCTTACAGGAAACAGCTCCGGGAAACAGCTCGGGGAAGGTGCAGCCGTTGCCAAGACAACCCCTGCAGGACTGACTTCCTTCCGCTTGGTTGCGGTTTTTATATAAGTAGATAACTGTGGTTAATAATTATGATTGTGATTATAATGAGGAAAATTTATTTAGCCATTACATTGTGCCAGGTACTTGATACTTTTCATGCATTATTTTATTTAATTATTATAAAATGTCTTTAGTGTTGTTATTCCTACTTTACAAAGCGTTACCTGAGGCTTAGCTACCCTGTCACTTGCTGGAGTTTATCTGGATAGTAAGTGGCAGAAATATGCTTCAAGCCGGTTCCTGGGCTCTGAAGATACAGGGTTAGCAAAGTCCAGCATACTTCCTGCCTTTGTGGATTTTACAGGATTTAATTCCTAGACTATACTTCCTACCTAGTCTCAGCACATATTCTAAGGACACTGTGGCATGGTCGGGGATATAATTTTAGAGTCTGAAAGCCTGATTCACTGGTATTTCCACTAACATTGAGGATAATGTCTCTTGTGAGGAAATGGTTATAAGTTAACACAAAAGTAAAATGAGAGATCAGCAAAGATCAGAACAGTATCTTTTAATTCCCTAAACACTGCCCATTCCCTAAACACTAACACAGTGTTTTTATTCAAAGTTGGTACTGAATGAATGTTAATTTGAGTATGCTCATTGGCTATAAGACAGTGTATTTTATTCCCACATTATGGTTTTTGATATAGACTAACCAGGATACTATTTTTATTTATTTATATTATTCCTTATGTTTATAGTTATTTGCTGGTGTGAAGGATGGAGAAGGCCTGCAGCTCTTTGAACAAAGTTCTCGTTCTGCCCATAAACAAGAGACGCATACCATGGAGGCCATGAAGCTCGTAGAGTTTGACCTTAAGCAAACACTTACGAGGCTTGTGACACATCTTTTTGGAGATGGTAAGTACTCAAATGCCTTTGACTTTGGGGCTTTGCATATTCAGTAATTACCATCATCCTTAAGTCATTAATATAGCTGTGTTTAGATTTTTTTGGTCTAAGTTGTGGCTTAATCGTTCAGGTCTATAGTGAAGTAGAACTTATGGATTTCCTGGTTCATTCTTGTGAGGAGCAGGAGTATATGGAAATAGAATTAACTAGAGAAAGAAAAAATGATGATATGCTGTAATAAGAATGAGATTGGATTATAATAATGTCATTCATCAGTAGTGAGAATGTGTACAGACTGATTAGTGTTCTTGTATAACTGTATTGTCATTAGGTCAAACTTGAATGATGGGGCAATAGTCTCTTTTTTTCTTTTCTCATTTATTTATTAAACATTCTTTAGTTACAGTTAACATTCAATATTATATTAATTTCAGGTATACAGGATGGTGGTTATACTTCTATATAACCTACAAAGTAATCACCTTGATAAGTCTAGTACCCACCATACATAATTATTACAATACTAGAGGCCTGATGCATGAAATTCGTGCCCAGGTAGGGTCCCTAGGCCTGGCTGGCGATCAGGGCCAATCAGGTACCCCACCTCCCTGCCCTCTTGTTCCCTCACCACCTGTGCCACTACCACGAGGTTCCCCCCTGCCTCCCCACCTCCTTCTTCCTTCACTCCCTCAGTGCCCTACTGCCACCGCTGGTCATCTGCCATGTTCCGTGCTGCCTCCTGATGGTTAACACACGTCATAGCGAGCAATTGAACTCCTGCTTCAGGTGTGCAGCAAAATAGACATTTATATAACTTATGAAGTGATCCCCCCAATAAGTCTAGTACCCACCTGGCACCATGCATAGTTATTACAATATAATTGACTATATTCCCCATGTGGTACTTTACATTTCTGTGACTATTTTGTAACTTTCAATTTGTATTTCTTAATTCCTTCACCTTTTTCACCCAGTCCCCCAAACCCTCTCCCCTCAGGCTACCATCAGTATTGAAGTAAAGTTGTTTACTTTACATTGAAACATAAAAATGTTTCAATTTTATTTGTTTATTCTTTTTTTAGATTTCACATATAAGTGACATCATATGGCATTTGTCTTTCTCTGACTGACTTATTTCACTTAGCATAATACCTTCTAGGTCCAGTCTTGTGAGGCAAGATTCTTAACCAAGATTCCTAACCATTCTTAACCACTGTTCTTAACTAGTGGAAAGTTTTACGTATTTATATATTGATTACTACTGTCAACAGCAAAAATATGAAGAGTGAATTTCATAGAGGAAGAATAGTATTTTTTAAGAGCTGGACTCAGTTTTATTTAATTACTTGCTCTTGATTATTTCTCTAAGAAAGTTTTTTAAAATATATTTTTTATTGAGTACAGATAAGAAGAGAGAGAGAGAGAGAGAGAGAGAGAGAGAGAGAGAGAGAGAGAGAGAGAGAGGGAGAGGGAGAGGGAGAGGGAGGAAGAAACACCAATGATTAGAGATAATAATTGATTGGCTGCCTCCTACATGCTCTCTACTGGTGATTGAGCCTGTAACCCTGGCATATCCCCTGACCTGGAATCGAACCATGACCTCCTGTTCATAAGTTGATGCTCAATCACTGAGCCATATTGGCCAGGCCCTAAGAAAGTATTTGTTTGTAATGTACCCCCTTCCAATTATTTAAGGCTTCCTTGAAATAATATTTTGTTTGTTTTTAGAAAGCTATAAAGATTAGGTTATGAGACCTACAATTTAAAAATGTTTAAAAGACAGAAGCTAAGCTAGTTCTTATTCTTGTGAAATTTTTAAAAGAACAGCTTTATGAGGTATAAATGACAAAAAATAAACTAAACATATTTAAAGTTCACAGTCTGCTAAACTTGACATACAATAAACTGAATGTATTTATACAATTTTAGTAGTTTTGACATAGGCGTGCACTTGTATAACCACCAACAGAATTAAGATAATAAATATGTTCATCATCCCCAAAAGTTTCTTCTTGCCCCATGCCCTTCCCTACATCTCCTCACCCCAGGAAGCTAGAGAACTGCTTTCTGTCACTTTTTTATTTTTATTTTTTTTTACAGTGGTTAGATGCCACGAAGTAGGTGGCAATGCCTTATCCGTATGTGTGTTGTTAGGAACGAGAGCCTCTTCCATCCTTGTCAAGGGGAGTGCTAACCTTCTCTCCTGTCATACAACACTGCTTTCTTTCACTTTTGATTAGTTTGCAGCTGTTAGATATATATAAATAGAATTCTGTAATGTGTATGTGGTTTTTTTTTTGAGGGGGTGGCTTATTTTAGCACTAGGGGCCCGGTGCACGAAATTCGTGCACTGGGTGGGGAGGGTGAGGGGGAGTGTCCCTCAGCCCAGCCTGCCCCCTCTCACATACTGGGAGCCCTCAGGCATTGATCCCCATCAATCTCCAATCGCAGGATCGGCCCCTTGCCCAGGCCTGACGCCTCTGCCAGAGGCGTCAGGCCTGGGCAGGGGACCCTCATTCCCCCATCACTGGTTCTGCCCCCAGCCCAGGCCTGATGCCTCTGGCCCAGGATTCAAGCCTGGGCCGGGGACCCCCATCTTCCTCTGATCGCTTGCTCCACCCTCCCGCCCAAGCCTGATGCCTCTGACCCAGGCTTCCGGCTTGGGCAAGGGGACCATCATATCCCCCCAATCCCTGGCTCCACCCCCCACCCAGGCCTGTTGCCTCTGGCCCAGGCATCAGGCCTGGGCAGGGGACCCCCAGCTCCCCACGATCTTCCGCTCTGCCCCTGCCCAGGCCTAACGCCTCTGGCCGAGGCGTCCTGCCCAGGCAGTGGGGACCCGCAGCGGCAGCGGCCCCGCGATAGTGGGCTCCGCTTTAGGGCCCAGGCAAGGGACCCCTAGCTCCCGGGGCTGCCAGCTTTGACCCTGCCCAGCTCCCATCGCTGGCTCCACGCCTACTTCCTGCTATCACTGGCCAGGGCGGCAAAGGCGCCAAAGGCGCCTGATTCTCGGATTATGGCTGGGGGGCAGGGCAAAGGCGGCCTTGGGGACTCTTAGCACCCCCCTGGGTTTCCGATCACTGTCAGTGGCAGGGGGCTTCTCCCTACTTTCCCTTTTGCCTCCGTGCATTGTGCCTACATATGCAATTTAACCGCCATTTTGTTGTCAGTTAACTGCCATCTGAGTTGGCAGTTAATTTGCATATAGCCCCGATTAGCCAATGAAAAGGGTAGCATTGTACGCCAATTACCATTTTTCTCTTTTATTATATAGGATAATTATTTGGAAACCAATTCATATTGCAGTGTATGTCAATGGCTCATTCCTTTTTATTGCTAAGCCTTCCATTCCATAGTTTATTTATCCACCCATTGATAGACATTTAGGTTATTTCTAGTCTCTTGCTATTACAAGTAAATCTTTTTTGTATGGACTTATGTTTTCATTTCTCTTCAGTAAATACCCAGCAATTGAATTGCTAGATCATAGGGTAGGTGTATTTTAACTTTCTGCGATGTCACTTAACTGTTGTCTGAAGTGGTTGTGCAATTTTACATTCCTTCTACTTGTGTATTAAGGTTCTAGTTGCTTTACTTCTTTAACTACACTTGACACAATCAGTCATTTTAAATTTAACCATTTAGTGGGAGTGTAGTAATGTGTCAAGTAAGTATTCAGAATATTTAAACAACTCCAAATAAACAAGTGAAAATCAACTTAAGAGAGACATGGGTGAAAATGAATGTGACAAATGATGTAGCTAAAGGACTAATGAATACCTAAAAAAAAGATGCTCACCCTTATTAGTAATCAGGGGAATGCAAATGAAATCCACCATTAGCTATCCTTTGCACTTTCATATATAGAATTATTTTTTAAAATCTAACATTTGGCCGGGCGCCTGTAGTCCCAGCTACTCGGGAGGCTGAGGCTGGAGGATCACTTGAGCCCAGGAGTTCTGGGCTGTAGTGCGCTATGCAGATCGGGTGTCTGCACTAAGCTAGGCATCAATATGGTGACCTCTTGGGAGCGGGGGGCCACCAGGTTGTCTAAGGAGGGGTGAACCGGCCCAGGTCGGAGACGGAGCAGGTCTAAAATCTAACATTTGTAAATATTGACAAAGATACAGAAAAACAGAGGTAGTAGAAAGTCCTGTTCTTGTGCAGGAGTCTCAGCTACCAACCCCAGCTGGAACTCGGGTACTCAGTCTTGATTCACCTCTGTTTTTTCACACCTTCAGGTTCCCCTACTTACCTGTGAACTCAACTGTGTATTTAAAAGGATTCTAATTATAATTTACTAAGTTTCTAATGCCCTGTTTTAGCAAGACTTGTTAGAATATCTAGACTTTCATATTCTCAAATGCATAGTTCATGTAATATTTAAGAAATCACTAACTAACCCTGTGTATTTTAAATATATATACATTTTAAAAAGGTATATCAGCTGCATGCTAGTGGGTGTTTTTTTCTAGGAGGTGGAGGAATGGTATTAGAAAAGAAGTACAAACCAGGCTTCAAGTGTGTTCATAGAATTTAATTAAAATAAAGAAGATAAATTAAATATGAAAAATGTTATGATTGATTAAACTGAATAGTGGGTGTATGGATATTTGCTATTTTCTATTTCTGTCTCTTGGTTTGAGATATTTCATATTCAGATGTTATAATGTAATGGTGAAATAGGTTTCAGATAGAGATTACTGATGTGAACATTTTATTATAGCCAGTTTCTCTTTACTTTCATGATAAAAGGAAAGTATTATATTTTTAGAAATAGTATCATCTAGTTAGCATTGGAGTGCAGGGAGATAGGTTATATTTTTCAGGCCATTTTTGAAGCAGGTTTTGGTAGAAGGGATTCTAGTATTTTAGGGGAGAAAGTGTTTAATGTCTGGTAACTTTATGGAGATATTCAGGCTTATCTGAATGTTTTCATTGTCAATCTATGGAGAGACTTGTTAGAGCTATCCTTATTTATGTCTTGCTATGCACATTTCTGTCATAAAATGATTTGCTGTTTGTAAGGTTTAGAAACTGCCTCATAGTTAGATAGACAGGTAATTGCTTCTCTAATAACTAGAATTTCTGTTTCTTCTATTTCTTTGTTATTTCACACAGCCTCACCTCCCCCCCCCCCCCCCCCCCCCCCCCATCACCTCCCACCACACCTCCATTTAGCACCATCAGTTCCTTCACCTGGCTAATTCTGACTTATCCTCTAGTGTCAGCTCAGATGTCCTCCCACCAGGACCCTTTCCTGGAGTTCATGCTAAGTCCGGGAGTAGATGCCTTTTTGGGGTCATCTGAGCTCTCTTTTGGGGTGGGCTTTTACTTTTCTGAGCAGGAAGCAGTGCTGGATTTCTACTACTTTGAAGGTATCACAATATTGAATAAGTTTCAGGGAGTCATGAATCTTGAATGCTGTCTCAGGGAAATAGTGTGTGGTAGGAGCACACAGCAGAGGGGCCTCCTCCAGTGCTCGGCATGTGCTCCAGAGATGACACTAGTCGTTGAGAACAAGCCTGAAGCTGTAGAGCTGGAAGGAATGAGGAAAGGAAGAGGAGAAAGGCAGAAAATGGTTAACAGATAAATCTCATGACCACTGAGAAACAGTAGTGTGGAACTGGAAAAATTAAAATTCTCCTTCATCATTTACTCTGAAATCTTGAACAGGTCATTTAGTGATTTAGACCTCAGTTTTCTAACTTTCTAAGATACCTTTTACAAAGAAAATATTAAATGTGTTAATATGAAACAAATGAAGGAGTAAAGAAGGGAAGGAAAATTATGGCAAGGCAATAAAAGCAGCAAGCATATGAAGGAATAGTAATACAGTCAAAGACAGTAGTTATGGCTGATTTCTCTTAATTTTGTGTAATGAAATGTAGCTTTATCTCAGACTATGGCATAGCCGTCCATTTGGTGTTGATGGCGGCCTCCACATTCTCTCTGAGCACCAGCCACTATTTTAAAAAGTACATAATGTGCTAGACGCTGTTAAGACTATAAAACATTACCAGGGGCTTGGAGCATACACGTTTCTCTGAATATGGTCCTGGACTTTTCCGTGTCATTATTTTTAATATTTGTATTTGAATAGCTTTAAAAACCGTGCATTGAGATGAAAGTTTCCAGATAGCAGTTTTCCTTATAAAAAAACATTTCTATAGTATATAATTTTTCTGACTGTGATATCCATCATGCCCATGGTCAAGAATTAACAATCTTAACTTGAAATGGCAATGAAGTTATAATGTCCCTACTTCAGGCAGATGTTTGCTTTATTTTTAAAATACTAGACTTTTAGGTTTCAGATTTAATTACAGATCAGAGTTGCTATTTTATAAATCTTCAAATCTCCCTTTTCTGTGGAATGGCCTTAAAAAATCTCATGTTTGGAGAATAGATACATGTTGTTCCTATGCACTAAAGTCTACCTGTTAACAAAGTCTTTTATTTTTTCTTTCTAGCTATGAGATCATTTTGAACCCCATACACACAGTAGCCAAAACACCCTGGAAATCCTTAAAGATGCATTAGCCGCACATCTTTGCTTAGCCCCTGTGCATTCTTTGCTGAGTATATTTCTAATGGAGCAGTTGTTGGCAGGGGTGGGTGAGCTTGTCCCATGTATATACATGTTTGTAACATCTGCTAAGATGCTTCTCAGAGTAGATACTAAGCAGGTGGGAGGGCAACTGAGGTTCATTTTATGAACTACTAGAGGCCTGGTGCACGGATTTGTGCACCAGTGGGTTCCTGGGCCTGGCCTGTGGGATTGGGCCAAAACTGGCTCTCCAACATCCCCCAAGGAGTCCCGGATTGCGAGAGGGTGCAGGCCAGGCTGAGCGACCCCACCCGTGCACTGTCAGGGCCGGGGAGAGACGTGGAGGTTGGCCAGCCGGGGACGGACCATGGGAGGGCTCTCTCGCTTAGTCTCAATCGGCCAGACCCCAGCAGCAAGCTAATCTGCTGGTCGGAGCATCTGCCCCCTCGTGGTCAGTGCACCTCATAGCGAGTGGTTGAGCGACCTTAGCATATCATTAGCATATTATGCTTTGATTGGTTGAACAGATGACTGGACACTCAGCATATTAAGC